GAAGCCGCTGCGCCGCCAGAACACGATTTCTGTTCTCATCCTGAAGCAAAGTTCTTAACCCAAGGTACTATTTCTGGGTTAGCGGAGTCTGTAACCTGAAGCGTATGTAACCCGAGGTACCACTGTATTACTGTAATAGGTATCTAAAGCCATTTGCCCATGCTGCCATGCAACCAGTCCATGCAGAATGTAGGCACCCTATATATAGAAATGAGCAAACCAGTGATATTTTAGGGAGCAGGCTAGCAGGCGGGGCCCATTACTTGCATCATAGGAGCCTACACAACACAAAACACTGTTGCTGTATGTAGGTTTGTTTGTTTTTATCTTATATTTCGGAAATGTACATCATTGGTTTTTTTCCTTTAAATTTTTGGGGGCCCCCCAAGAGTGTGGCCCTAAGCTATAGCTTGTTTAGCTTATACATAAATCTGTGACTGAGCACCACCGACACTTAACAGCAGAACCTATTATTCACATGTCAGTTTTAGATGATCCTTCAAGGGACTTGGAAGCACAACCTCGTTGACTCAAAAGGAAGTCCCTTCGAGCTCTGTGGGGTTTTTCTTCCTAATATACGTGCTTCAGACTGAAGCCTCGCTCAATGGAAATAATTATACCCTCGCCGCTTACAATGGTACTGTAGCCTCGCCGAAAGTCAGCACGATCACATCAGCACAAATTATCATTCTTAAAGAACCCGACCTCCACTCTGGGGCTTAATTCCTAACAAATAAAAAAGAGTTTAAAAGACAGGTTTATGGGCCGTTCGGCTTTCAGCCTTCCAGAAAATTAATTTCCCATCTGAACTGCCATTACGAACAGTCTGCGTTATAAAAGCACTGCTATTCATTAACGCAACTATGTGGGTCTCTCTAGCAACACATACAAATCCACAAGTTAAGTGATTCATGAAAGCCTACCTTAGCTTTGACTTCTTCAAGCCACCAGTGTCTGAAATTTAGTGATTTGCCCATTGGCCAGTACTGTGACATCTATTATTACCTCACAGCCCACCATCTCATCCCCCCATTTGCCTCTGGTCAGTGGGTACTGGTGACTTGTCAGGTTGAAGGCAGGGGTATGAAGTCAACAGCCCCTTAGGCAAGCTTGACCTCCAACCACATGAACCACAAATGAGATGATCAGCAGCACTCACGTCATGACTTTTTTAAAAAAAAAAATTTAAAATTAAAATTAAATATCAGCCACCAATTAACATGTCTACTCTCAGGTAACTGGGTATAGGATTGCAGCCTGAATAAATGTTGCAGCTTTACTAACTAGATTTCGGGAAAGCATCTCTCTCTAAAAAAAGGTTCTCTGTTTTATTCAAAAGGGGGGAAAACAAGGGTTTATAAGTGGCACAAAATAATATTTTAACCAGACAGGAACTGGAATATAGGAAATATCCCTGGCGACAATGCAACATATGTCACACCGGGTTGGATATATTTTACGATATTGCTGCTAGATTGTTTTCGCAGCCCACCTAGGCTTCGCACGGCATTTTACAGCATTGGTGTGAAATTAAAGTGAGAAACTTCTGGGAACTCGCAGGTGGGACTAGGTTATTTTCTTAACCACCAGTTTTCATCCTAAGGAAATGCTTCGAGCTAAATCAAGATAAGAAAAGCTCTTCCCTGCACATTAGGAAATACCTAGACGTTACAACACAGCTAATGGCGCTGCCTCTAGCATGACTGGATGGAACAATTATGCATGCAAAACTGCCAAGGGTTGAAGAGAAAGCTTGAGGGAAATTTTCCACCCGAAACAACAACATAGAGCATAATCCCAGAGCGTAATCCCAGCATAAACCTAATTTACAGGTGCAACAGCAGAATGCCTAGGCGTGCTTTTTTAAATAACAAAAATACAAAGCTGAAAATGAATGAACTGCAGCTAAAATATTATTATTTTTCAAATATTATTATTTTCAAATGGCCTTGTCCTTCCCCTGCCCCCATATTCTTAAGAGGGTCTCTTCTCCAGTCAGCAGAGAGTAGCTAGAAGTGGGGAGGCAGGAAAAGGTCCTCTTTTCCTTCCACACTGAAGTTTTAATCTGAAATCTTAGGCGCAGCACTGCGCCCAGAGCTCAGAAACTGCTCGCACTAATGAAATACCCTGTTGCAAAATGCACCCAGAACAATGGGAGTTTCGAACACTGGGTGCAGATGTGGCCTTAGCCTTCAGCAATCTAGGATGAGTGGTAGCTACTTCGGGAATAATATTTGGCGGAAAAACTGTCCATCGTTCCTCTTCAAAACTTTAGGCTACAGGTGGCGGACCTGTGACTCTCTAGGTATAGCTAGGATTCCAATTTCCTAGTGTTGTCTGTCCCTGGCGCTTGCTTGGTTCCCTATCCCAAACGCATAATTACAATACAACAGGTAATGACAAAGAGATTCTCAGTCTCCAGCCTCTCTCCTCCAAGAAAAAACACCATTCGGCAAACATCCGGACTGAAATGCTAATTCGATGAAGTTGGAACCACAACACTCACAAATGGGAACTAACACGGCCAGTTTGGTCAGTCTTCCTAATCATTTTTTAAAAAATATTATGTTAATTAAAAGAGATACAACCTCCTTTCAGCCTCATGTGCTTGTTTTCAAAACACTCACAAATGACTCTAACCTCTTGACTTCTGATGCCCTGCTGAGGGGCAGGGGGAAGCCATTCAGCTTGTTAAAAATAAAACTCATTAGGGCCGACCTATTTGAACGTTGCGGCAATAAAAAACGCTACAGTGGCTATTATGCAGCTAAAATAAAACTAAGGTGGGTGAGTGCGATAGTGAGAATGCAGGCAAAGTCCCGTGAAAGTGTTTTACCTCTGTGCACAAAAGCCCTCCGATATTTTAGCTGCTTTTGCAAGCAACAGCACCACTTTTGCAAATGACACCGGTAGCAGCAAGGATGACACACAGAGAGATGTTGTTTCCTTTTAGTAAACGCAAGCGCACGATTGGCTGCCTTTCTCTAATTAGCCCTCTCTTCCCATGTTAACAACCGCCCAGTTGCTTTTGCAACGTTTTCTCTTTGCACTGGCAATTACATTTGCGGAAGTCCCCGGCAGGAAAACGCCGGCTCCCTGGCACATCACAAAAACAAACAGGAGTCGGGTTTATTAACAGCCCCGCTGTCCCTCAAACATCCAGAAGACCTGGTGGAGCAGTGGGAAATGATGCCTGTCTGATCCTCTTGTTAAATAATTTAATTTTGGTACTCATTTAATGTTTTGTTTTTTCAATTCTCCCTCTGCACTTAAAACTTAAGCACTTAACACAGAAGCAGAGGGCCAAGGATAACAGCAGCAGGAGCAATAAGCCAGAATTCAGGAACATAGAGCTTGCATTGTCATTATTATTATTATTATTATTATTATTATTATTATATATTATATTTGCATACCGCCCTTCATCCAAAGATCACAGGGCGGTTCACAACGGAAAAAGACAAAATGAGAACACAAATTGTACGTAGAGCGTAACGCCAGGACTGTACACACTTGACCTGGAAGCAGGTCCCAAAGCACTCGGATGAGTTTTCCTTTTGAGGAGACAGTGGGCAGGCTTGATCCATTAACCGGAGCTTATTGACTCCCGTGTGTGTCTGTGCGTGTGAATTCAACCACTCTGCCCTGTGCTGCATTCCCAGGACATATAGTGAGGATTGCAACGCACGTCAAATTATTTTCTAATGAACTTAAATAATGTCACAAACATCCATCACAGACACACCAGGGGTGCCAACTTTAATAAAATATTGGGGATGCCCAGGTAAGCCATGCCCCACATAATCAATCACATGACACGGCGCACGCAAACCTATTTGAACGGGAATGCCCATTAACTTTGGGGAGGCTGGCCCCCTCAAATATTTTAGGGGGGACAAAGACCTCTCAGGCCTTAGGGGTTGGCTCCTATGCACCCATCTTCCTTCCAAACCACAGGAGCCAACTCCAGGGGGCTGTGGGTGCTTCACCATAATAATATATTTTTGGGGACTGGGAACCTTCCCCCGCCCCAGAAAAAAAGTCAATGGGAAAAGTTGCAGGCTTCCACAATCTTCAGCATGGGGTGGCACCTATGTTCCAAACCCATAGAAGGAGCCCACCCTGACTATGCAGGAGAAACGATGTTGAGGAGATATGGAAGGTGTTTGTAGAATTTTGTACTGTTAAAAGGGAAAGGGGTCAAACCAACAAAAGGTGTTGAAATTTTGGGAGGTTGGATAGCTCCAATGGAATGGTCTCTTTGGGGTGGGGGTGCACATTTTTATTCTTAATTTATTCTTATTACTTTGTCAAAATAACGAAACAAAAAGGAGCCCGTCCTAGAGTTTGCCAGGGGTCCCTTATTGGAAGGTATGGCCTCCCCAGATTACTATTTCTCTTTCACACTGAGAGAGGCACATACACATTCGGGTTCCTCCACGCCACGCCTCTGCCATTCCAATAATAATAATAATAATAAGCCACAAGAGCCAACTCCAGGGGGCCGTGGGTGCTCCGGCACCCACAATAATATATTTGTGGGGACTTGGCACCCTCCACTCAAAAAAGAGTCAATGGGCAAAGTTGCAGGAATCCACAATCTTCGGCGTGGGATGTCACCTGTGTTCCAAACCCACCCTAGAGTTTGCCAGGGGTCCCTTATGGGAAGGTATTGCCTCCCCAGATTATTATTTCTCTTTCACACGGGGAGAGATTGATTCGGGTTCCTCGACGCCACGCCTCTGCCGTTCTAATAATAATAATAACAATAACAACAATAACAACAATAATAATAATAATAATAATAATAATAATAATAATAATAGCAGCAGCAGCGGCAGCAGCAGCAGCTGGGGAGCAGCTCCACCCGCCAGCCCTTCCCTCAGCCTTTTGTTCCTTCTCCGCAAGGCGCAAGGGCAGCGCGCGCCTCTCCGCGCTCGCCTTCGCCGGGGAAGAGGAGGCGGAGAGGCGAGGAGGGGCGCGCGGAGGCAGAGACTCACCTCGGCTCGGCGAGGGGGGCGCTAGGCTCGCTAAGCGACTGCAGCTGGGGGTTGGGGCGGCGGCGGCGGCGGCCCTGGCAGCCCTGGCGTCGGCGCCTCGAGTGCTGCTGCTGTTGCTGGACGGCGGCGGCGGATGGCGAGCGTGGCGCACCATCTCCTGCTCGCCTCGGCGCGTCTGGCTGGCTGGCTGGCTGACCCCGGTCGCGCCCCAGAACACCGGCGCCCTGCAGGGCCCGCCTCCCCGGGCTGCTGCACGCTGATGCTGGAGAAGGAGGAGGAGGCTTCGCCGGCTGCCGGAGCACCGCCTCGTCCGCCCGTCTCTCGGGGGACCCGCCGGGGAGGAAAAGGCAGGATCCAGGCGCGCCAGGTGCAGCCCAGCAGCGCTCCGCCTTCGCCGCGCCGCGCCTCTTCCTTGCGCAGCTTTTCCTCCTCCTGCCGCTCTTCCTTACCTTCCTCTAGTCTAGAGTCTAGCGGCTCCTTCTTCTTCTTCGCCTTTTCCGGGTGTTTATAATATTTTTCACCCATCCAATTTCATGCACAAGGCCTTCTTTTTCCCCCAATTTTTTTATTAGTTTTCACAATATTATAAACAAACAAACACACAAGACAAACAAACATAAATCATAGCCTTATTGAAAATTACAGTTATTAACTTTGTTAAGTGACTTCCTCGCTTCCCCTTGGTTGAATTTCATTGCATGTCCTTTTTCCAAATCCCAATTTTTATGAAATTTAACTTAAGCATGCACAAGGCCTTCTTTGAAGGTATCACATCTCCACACTGGTTTATAAAGCTTTGCTTCTTGTCATGATTGACAACATAGTCCGACTTGGCAAGTAACCCATGGGAGAGAAAGCGTAGCTGATGGGTGTTTGCATCCCTTCAAATATGTAAAAAAAGTATGCTTTCTTTCTAAAGGTATTGTGGAATACTGAACTTAAAAAAACACAAAAAACAGTATTTTTTTAAAAACATCTTTATTGAAAGTTCAAAAAGTACATAATGCACTAAGCATGGTGAGATGTAAATGAAAGGAAAACAGAAACAGAAACAGTTTCTTTAAACTGTTTTACAACAGTTTTTTACAAAAAGGTATAAACTTAGAGGTTTGTGGGATTACAAAAGCTGCAAGGCCTCAAAAAGACAATAAAGTGAGTTTTTCTGTGGAAAGCATTCCATAAGTGGGGGGCCACCACTAAGGAGGAACTCCACTGGCAACATTTCTCAGATACGTTAGCCCCTCCCCACGGAAGGTCTTAATGTGTGGAAACATGGTTCTTTGAGTATCCTAACCTGATCTAAACCATGAGTAAAGGTAAAGGGACCCCTGACCATTAGGTCCAGTCGTGACTGACTCTGGGGTTGCGGCACTCATTTCGCTTTACTGGCCGAGGGGGCCAGAGTCCAGCTTCCTGGTCATGTGGCCAGCATGACTAAGCCGCTTCTGGCGAACCAGAGCAGCGCACGAAAACGCCGTTTACCTTCCCGCTGGAGCGATACCTATTTATCTACTTGCACTTTGACGTGCTTTCGAACTGCTAAGTTGGCAGGAGCAAGGACTGAGCAACGGGAGCTCACCCCATCGCGGGGATTCGAACCGCCGACCTTCTGATCGGCAAGTCCTAGGCTCTGTGGTTTAACCCACAGCGCCACCTGTGTCCCTTAAACCATAAGTAGAATCATAGAATTGTAGAGCTGGAAGGGTTCCCAGGGGTCATCTAGTCCAACCCCTGCAATGCAAGAATCTCAACACATGATAATTTAAATGTTTCTTTCTTTCTTTCTTTAGTACTTCGCATTGGACCGAGAAAAGGACTGGGAGCTGTCGGCATAGTACAGAGGTAACATGTTTAAAACACAGAGCCCCTCAGTTAATCTAACAGTTGTGTTCCGTAGTAAATGAAGTTTCTGAACTGTTTTCAAAGGCAGCCCCACAACAGTGCACTACAGTAGTCTAATTTGGAGGTTACCAAGCCCAGATAGCTAACCCCAGGCTACGTTTGTCCAAGTGGGGATGCAGCTAAGGCCCAAAGTAAAAATTTATTTGATAGGCAGCATACAGCTACGTATCTAGATTTTTTCTGACTTAATTACAGGCAGAGGGGGGAATCCTTATCAGGAAGGCAGTGCGAGGGAAGAAGGGGGGGGCAATTGTTTCCCTTCCCACCTTGCATGGCTAGAAGTCGGCGGGATGAGATACCCCATCGGAGCCAAGGGACACTTTCCCCTGAAGCTTCCAAGCTGCACATGGTATGTGTGATCACGTTGGAGAGGTAATGACAGTTGGCTGATAATTAGAAGCACAAGGTGCCCGAGTGGTATCATTAAGTGAGGAAAAAATCCCGGCACATAGCTTCCAGGTTCTGTTTACTGAATGTTTGCATTCAAGGCTTCTGGTAACAAAAAAATGAATCAAGTCACACCTGCTCCCAAGTTGCAGATCTATTCCTTCAAGGGACATGTAGCCCTATGTAGCGTAGAATGAACACCACGTGCTTGGACAGACGAACCACCCACCCAGAATATATCAGTCTTGATTGGATACAGCTTCAGATTACTGGCTCTCATCCAGACTACAGCCTGCCCATTTCCCTGTGCCTGGAATTATGAAAGCAGGTGGCATGGAGGAATGTTTGGATCCCCAATTTTATTCCTATTCCTATTATTATTATTATTTCCTCCACTTTTGAGCCATTTTGGGGGAACTGATGCTCACAACCATAGGGTTTTTGTATTTTTTAAAATAATAATTTGTTTTAAATTTTCTGTTTCACAATTTAGAAAATTCATTTAAACAACCTTAAAATATCAATGACTTCCCTTCTTCCCTGTCCATGGTTCATTTTGCATGGCATAAATACCTGCATATTTTACATAAACTAAACCATTCAGTGTTCCATTATTACTTCCATCAAAACTTATTTACACTGTTGAATTTATCTTAATGCTGCCAACGTTTCCGAGTGTACACAGTTCCCCCCCCCATATATTCAATAAACATTTTCCAGTCTTCTTTAAATGTATGTTCTTCTTGTTCTCTTATTCTGTAAATTAGATCCACAAGCTGCTGTGGTCTAAACCACTGAGCCTCATGGGCTTCCCGATCAGAAGATTGGCGGTTCGAATCCCCTCAATGGATTGAGCTCCTGTTGCTCTGTCCCAGCTCCTGCCAACTTAGCAGTTTGAAAGCACGCCAGTGCAAGTAGAAAAATAGGTACCGCTCTGGCGGGAAGGTGAATGGCGTTTCTGTGTGCTCCGGTTTCCATCATGGTGTTCCATTGCGCCAGAAGTGGTTTAGTCATGCTGGCCACATGACCTGGAAAGCTGTCTACGGACAAATGCCGGCTCCCTCGGCCTGAAAGAGAGATGAGCACCACACCCCATAGTTGCCTTTGACTGGACTTCACCATCCAGGGGTCCTTTACCTTTACCTTTTACCTATTCCATCAGTTTAAGTTGCCATTATTCTTTGGTCGGGACCTCGCTCGTTTTCCATTTTTGGGCTGACAAAACACGGGCCGCCATAGTGGCATACATAAATAACCTTTTTTGACACCTGGGAATTTCCATCTGAATTATCCCCAAGAAAAAGGACTCTGGTTTTTTTGTGTGGTTTTTTTTTTTTTGGAAAGGTGCTTTCAAACATTTTTTTTCCAATTTTTTTTAAAATAATATTTATTCAAAATTTTCATCAATACATAAAAGATCCCCGACCCTAGCCCAAAAAAGAAAAAATAGAAAAAAGAATAAAAAGAAAAAATACAAATCTCCAATTACAGTTTTTCATTTGCTTAGTTCTTGAACCTCCTCACACCTCCCTTTTTGTATTCTAGTTTAGTTCGTTATTTCAGCAAATTCTTCCCATATTTCTCAATTTTAATTTATATAGTTAATCTCCACACTCTATCTTATTTATTAAACAACATTCCCTTTCCCTCTTTTAAAATAATCTATTATTCAATTTACCTTACCCTATTTAACCTTATCTTATGTTAAAAATCTTAAAATTTCAAAAACACAACATATTCATACATTTTTCCTTAAAAACACTTCTACTAAAGCCAATTTAGTTCCTTTCCGGCAAATCCCTCAAATTTCAATAATATTATTTATTTATTTTCAATTTGTTATAAATAACCATAGAATTGCTCCTCTCCCTGCATTTTCCCCTGCTCCTCGTTCAATACTAATAAAAAGTGTTTTTTTCAATCTCATTTGTTCTCACTTCAATGAACACACTCCCATTTACTAGCATATTCCCACTACTGGTTTGGGAAGAGGCATGTGCACAATGTTGACCACAATCCATATCTATATTGTTGTTTCTTAGGAAGAAATGCTATATTTTTCTGCATTTCCTCCAAAACCAGCTTTGATCCGAATTGAGAAAATGATAGACCCACCTGCATTTTAAGACAGTAATGTGTAAAACATTCTTATTCGATTAATCACGTTGCTTTTCACAAGTCCTTCTGTGGATAACATTTTTTTCAAAGCGATGCTACAAAAATAATGTTGTGGTTTTTTTTAGTTTCCTTTTTACAGTGCTTCAAGGCTATTGTTGTTTTTGGATGGGATTCAGCCGCACACTGGCAAATTCAAGTTGCGCAATTAAAACTGATTTGAAGCTCTTGCACAACAACAACAACCCCCACCCAATTCACCCCAGACTTTTGCAATAAGGAAAGTGACAGTAAAATGCATTGGAACGTGTGAGATAACAATTGCTTAATGCAATGTTTATCTGTTTATCTACTTGCACTGGTGCGCTTTCGAACTGCTAGGTTGGCAGGAGCTGGGGTCGAGCCATGGGAGCTCACTCTGTCACACAGATTCAAACACCTGACCTTATGATTGGCAAGCCCAAGAGTCTCAGGGGTTTAGACCACAGCGCCACCCATGTCTCAGGAGTAGGCATATGTACTGTACACATGCACACCGGAAGATAAAACACCTCATAACTTGCTTTTTCTCGCATTGTAATCTCAGCGCATGGGCACTCGGACACCATCTTCTCAGTCCATCGGTGGAAGTAGTTGCAAAACGTCATAGCACAATATACAGAGGGATACCAGTTGGTCCTTAAAGATATGACTAGACTCGCTCTCTTTGCTGCTACAGACCAGCTCTTCTGGAATTTGTCTCTGAGGAAGGGCAGAGTTCGCTCTATTTGTGTAGCAAGCCAGAGACATCCACCCTTACTAAATAAATGTTGGGAGCGGCCTGGTTGCCAAGGAAGGGTGGTTGCTGGTTCCTTGCCGAGGATGTTGGGTGGTGCTGTGAGAAGCAGAAAATAAGCTTTGTTTTCCTGGATAGGAAGTGGCTTTGTAATACTGGGTGGTACGTCAAATGAAAGCTGTGCTACATAACTGTAGGTTGTACTCACACAGCATCAGCTACCAAGGGTGGTGCTCACATAGAAGCCCATATGTCCCGTGAGGCGGACAATACAATTGTTAATCCCTCCACTGGAACCTGAAATATATCTGTCCTTTGTAAATGTGAGGAGATGGCTCTGCAACAAGGATGGCTGGGGGGGAAATTGTAGTAGTCAAGGTGATGGCATTCTGTAAATCTTCAAATGCTTCAAATGTTAGTGAAATATGAAGGCCGGTTATTTTTTTAATAAAGAACTGGGTTGTACTGTCAGGGAAGACCAGTCCTGACATGTACCAAACTCAGACGATTAAACGCCCCATAAAGGGTATCGTTTTGCCCATTGTAAATGTTATGTATTCAGTGGTTTGTGTTTGCCTGAGCTTGAGTCTGGACTAAGGATTCTGAGCTCCTGTGTTCCAATTCGATACATGATGTCCAATCACAGAACATTTTAGGATTTGGGCCTCTGCCATTGGTCCTTGAACTCTGAGTTGTGATTTGCAGCTTAGAAGTTTAGACAGCCAGTCACGTTGGGAGTGGGAGTGGCCCAGGCTTTCAGGAATGTATATAAGCAGTTGCTTTGCCCGTGTTTCCCAGTTATGTAGTTCAATAAAGGTTCTTGCTGTTATCACTGTGTCTTGCCTCATGGGAACCCACCTACACTTCAATAAACATATTTTTATCATACAGAAAGGTGACTTACTGCGTAGACGTCATACATTTAAAGCACATTGCTTCCTCCAAAAAATCATGGGAACTGCAATTTACAGAGCTATACAGAGCTAAAGAATTCGACACCACTCTTAAAATACAGTTCCCATTATTTGGGGGCAGGAGGGTGTGGTTTGAATGTGCTTTAAATGTATGGTGTGTGTAAACAGGAAGAATTCTACTCCTGGCTTTTCTCACTGCAGTCCCTCTTTTCCTGTTTCTCTTTAGTTTTTCTTACCAGCTCATAGAGCTACTGCGTATTTCCATGCAAGAGAGGCTCTGGAGGAAGGCTGTGGGAAGGTGGCCAGGGTGTGTGGCTGGTGGCTGGGCTGGTGTGTGTTGGCAGAACTGCGTTGAAGACTGCTCTCTACTTCATTTAGCTCAGATCAGTCCTGTTCATTATTCATGCCATTGGCATTAAATTAGCAGGTGGCCCTGTGGTCTAAACCACTGAGCCTCTTGGGCTTGCCAATCAGAAGGTCGGTGGTTCGAATCCCCGTGACGCAGTGAGCTCCTGTTGCTCTGTCCCAGCTCCTGCCAACCTAGCAGTTCGAAAGCACACCAGTGCAAGTAGATAAATAGGTACCGCTCCATCACGGTGTTGCACCAGAAGTGGTTTCATCATGCCGGCCACATGACTCGGAAAGCTGTCTGTGGACAAATGCCAGCTCCCTCAGCATGAAAGCAAGATGAGCGCTGCAACCCCATAGTCGCCTTTGACTGGACTTAACCGTTATATGAACAACAACAACCTTCTTTGGGTAGATTTTCTTTCTTCTGAAAATGGCCACTTGATGTGGAAATCTGTGGTGCAGAAAGAGGGCGTTTAACCCTTTCCACATCAAAATCCCCCCTTAAGCTGCTATGATTAACCCAGCCGTTGCTTCCTCCAAATGATCCATGGAGTTGTAGTTTGGTGCCGGTGTTTAGTTCTCTCTGGCTCAGCTTCCAAGAACTACTGTTCTCCCCAAAAAGCTATTGTGGGCAGCAGCTTCAGGGGAGCTATTTCAGCAGGGAAAGGGTTAAAGAGCTGCACCCCACCCCCCAGTCCTCCAACTTGTCCTCTGCTGTAGCAGGCTGCTTTTTTTGCAAAGCCACAAAATCTGTCACAGATCGCTAAGGCAGCACATCGTTTGGTCCTTAGAGAAGTCTGAAATTCAGGTTCGATCCTCGTATGAGACAGCTGCATATCCCTGCATTGCAGGGTTTTGGACTACATGGTCCTCAAGGTCCCTTCCACTTCTACAATTCTACATGATATAAACTTGTAGATACGGCTTCAGAATGCAAGCTTTCTGGTGTCAAAAGCAGAAAATGCCTTTTGAAATATTAATTCGGTCTTATTGATTAAATCTTTAATGGATGTCCCGGTTTATAATTATAGAAGCAAACTGAGAGTTGCCACGAACCTCGGATTATGACATCAATGAATGACTCACAGTGCAATCCAGTGCTTGGATCCTCAGTAAGTCATCATAGCTGTCAACTTACAGATTTGAAAATAAGGGACCAGCAGCCTCGAAAATAAGGGATCAGCAGCCTCGAAAATAAGGGATCAGCAGCCAAAATAAGGGATTTTCCGAACACAGGTATGTTCAACTTCTGAGCCCCTCCAAGCCAAAGGCAGAAAACCCAGCCAGCAGCCAAACAAAGCCTCAAGCGGTGGTTCCCACAGCGCAGCAACCCGGCAAAGGGGATGCAGCAAGGAAAACCACCGTCACCTCTCCGCTGGGAAGCGCTGAGCAAAGGCAAGTCCCCAGGCAACGCAGCCAATTTGATCGACACAAGGCACGCAAGCTCCACCCCCCAGTCGTTCTTAGACTCCTTATTGGGTGAGCAACGCAGCCAAGCAACACAGTTGGAGCCTCCCTCCTCCCTGGCCGGCAGGGAGGGAGGGAGAGGAGCTGCTTCCTTTGAAACCCGGGAAATTTCAATAAGGGACAGCAGTGGGACACAGCGCTGGGATAAGGGACTTTCCCACCAAATAAGGAACACTTGACAGCTATGTAAGTCATTCCCATCGAGTTTAATGATGAGGCTTACTTCCTGGTAAGTGGAGGAGGTGGGACTGGAGCATATGTTACTTTTGGTTTGGTAGCTAGCGGCAGAATCACTGGAGAAAAATGGACATGTTCGTGGGAGGAATAAGCATTTGCCAGTTCAGTTGCCTGATCCACATCATATACACCAGCAATTATTTAAACTGGAGTTGTTCAAAATGACTTCATAGTGATTCCAAAAGTCCATCTTGCACCACAAAGAGGCACTGAAGCCATTAAGGATTTTTCCTTCTTAAGAAACTTGAGGACACCTTCCTCTTCCACTTGAAAAAATGGGCAGCAGGACCAGCATCAAAGGTCCCAGGGATCGCACCACCCTGGACCACCTGCTCCTCCTCTTGTTCACCTGCCCCTTAGCTCTCTATCCCAGACAACAGGGGCAATGCGAAGGAAGATCAGTAGGTGCCACTTCCTGCCTGGCAAGTAAGCCAGTGGGAGCGATGATGAGCCAGTAGCAAGTGACAAGGGCAGTGAGGAGGAGGCAGACTGTGCTGGTCCCGGGGGGGAGGTTACCGTTGACGTAGTCGAAGTCCGGTCCTGGGTCACTAGCCTGGAAACAGTTCACAAGGAGCGGGGCGAGGTCCGAAGCAGGAAGCCGAGCGGGGACAGGAACACTGGAGGGTCAGGTCTGGGTCCGGACAGGAGCAGGTACTCAACGACGACCTGGGACCGGGCTGACTGGCCTTTATCTTCTCTGAGGCCAGGGGCGGCCCCGGCCCCCAGGAGCCCCGCCTCTCCTGGCCTTAAGGCGAGCACTCCTCCTGGGAGAAACCAGTTCCCTTCGCCTCTCTGCCCTGAGCCTCTGCAGTTCAGGAGAGGCTGAAGGGTTACTGGGCCCAGGGGGAGACTCACCTGCAGGCACTGAGTCCTCAACCACCTCTGGAGCCAGAATGGATTCACCTGGTGTCTGCTCCTGAGGATCCGGCACAGGTGCAGGCACCTCAGAATCAAGGCCTTGCCCCAGTTCAGCCGGCCCTGGAGGCGGGGACTCCTGTGCCGGCTGGGATTCCTCCGATTCACCCTCTGAATCGGAATCCCAGGCCATCACACAGACTCACCCAAGGGCAAAGGGCTATGGAGAGGGTCTTGCCCAAGGGCTGCCCAAAACCTGGAGCAAACATTGATGAGCAGGCTGTCCTGATCCGGGACGCGGGTGGCGCTGTGGTCTAAACCATTGAGCCTCTTGGGCTTGCCAATCAGAAGGTCGGGGGTTCAAATCCCTGCGACGCAGTGAGCTTCCGTTGCTCTGGCCCAGCTCCTGCCAACCTAGCAGTTTGAAAGCACACCAGTGCAAGTAGATAAATAGGTAGCACAGTGGTGGGAACGTAAATGGCATTTCCATGCGCTCTTGTTTCCGTCACGGTGTCCCGTTGTACCAGAAGCGGTTTAGTCATGCTGGCCACATGACCCACAAAGATATCTGTGGACAAACTCCAGCTCCCTCGGCCTGAAAAGCGAGATGAGCACCACAACCCCATAGTCGCCTTTGATTGGACTTAACCGTCCAGGGTTCTTTTTTACCTTTTCCTGGTAAAATTCCTTTACCAGGAATGTGCTTTAAACATGTGTTGAGCGCACAGCAAAAATTTAACTGGTTAAAATCTATCACTTAAGTGTTTTAACTGTTAAGTTTGGCTGCCACCTTTTTCCCCTGGCAGGGCTGCTGTGCTATTAAAAAAAAGAATCACTTGTCATTCATTTATTTATTTTTGTAACCAGGAATGATTTCCCCACTGAATCTGTCCAGTATCTAGGAATATGGATGAGTGGCTGGCATAAGCAAAATTTAGTAACATGGGTGGAACTTTGAAAAGGGGAAGAATTTGTCAACTGTAAGGGCATACAATTTAATAATGATGATGATGATGATGATAATATATATATAATATATTCAAGATAATATATTCAAGAGGTCAAGACACGAAGGCTTTAGCAACTAATCCACACCTAATGACCCACCTAAGTGGTACTCAGGATATCACTCAAGAAATCACTCAAGATATCCCTCAAGTAATTAAGGAACAAAAGAAGAAAAGGCACACTAGCCTGGGAACTTCCTCTCTGCCCAGAACATTGGAGGCTATACACCACACCCCCTCAACAATATTTATAAGAACTCAAACACTGAGATCCTGCTCTGTTCCAGTAACAAGAAGCCGAAAGCACCAGCCTGAAGATGACGAGTGAGACCTCGTCGAAACGTCGCCTAGACACCCCAACTTTTACACGGGAAGACACCCGAGGACACCAAAACCTGCATTCCTGTACCCGTGAAAATCTACGAAAGCAAATATATATATATATATATATATATATATCCCACCCTCCCTGGCTAGAACCATCTTAGGGCAGATAACAACACAATGACTGGAGGCAAAGGAATACATCTCTTTCAAATATTTTAAAGGAAAACGTATTGTAATGGAGACATTGTGACAAACGGAATTCTGCAAGCGAACAGGACTCAAACAATAAATTATATTGAAACCCAGATTAAGGAGGAGTATTTTGAGGGAACATGGGTTATTACTAACATTAAATCAGAAATAACATAAATTTATGGGGCAGTGGAATAAGGACGATTCTGGCACAATATTTGGAAAACTGGATTCCCGCCTCCATTTGTTTCACATTCCAAAAAAAGCTGAATATAAAGGAA